TCATCATCAGACCCATAAAGACCGATAGGTAACTTGTCCTTAGTCACACCATTATTAAGGGGCTGGGCTAGGCTTTAAAGCCTACTTTCTCTGACTTCAAAATCTATATACATAACTGTGATTTTATTTCAGGAGTTGGCAAATTATGGCCCTTGGACCAAATCCAGTCCTTCCTGGTTTTGTACAGTTCTGGATTGAGAATGTTTTTAACAATTTTAAATGGCTGATCAAAAATAAAGAAGAAGAATATTTCACGATGTGTGAAAATTATGTAAAATTCACATTTCAGTGGTCATAAATGAACTGTATGGGAACATAGCAGCATGTTGTCTGTGGCTGGCTCTGAAATGAACAGCAGAGTGGAATAGTTGTGATAGGGATCCTGTGGCCTGAACAGCCTACTGCCCGGCCTTCATTCCATCCTCCTCAGTGATTATGCTTTATGAGATTCTAATTATTTAGAGCACTATAGTGGGATTTTACAGGGCCTAACTCCTCCTGTTCCCTGCCTTCTTTGTTTGTTCTATATTAATTGACATATCAATCAAATGATGAATAGTGTGTATAAAAGAAGCTCACCCTTAAATACCTGTGTCTTGTGTTTTGAACAGACTGAGGGATGATTTGTTGCTGGATAACCTCGAGACTTGATGATGACCTTTTTTGTACTCTGGGCTGTAGCTACTTGTCTGTGGTGTACATGCCCCCCATATCCATTTACTGAGCTGATTATTTTTAAACCTCCAAGTATCTTAGACGCAGAACTCACTCTATTGTCTTTCCTTTGTAGTGGCCTGCTGTCTTCTGATTACGTGGAGATTCATTATGAGAATGGGAAACCACAGTACTCTAAGGTACGGTTAACAGCATGTGATGTCCTGCAGTATTAATAGACGTAGTCAGAGGCCTGGTCAAGGCACACTACATGGTTTTGATGTCTATCTTCAGGAAAAGTATTTGTCGTCTTATACAATGGCACAACAAATTATGTTTTTAATTTTAAAGTACATTTAGAAGAAATTTATTAAAAACTCCCAGATGTTGAAGATAACAATAGAGATTCAGTATATTTAGGGCAGTAAAGAAACGTTTGTTTTGGTTACACATACAGTATATTATGTAATGAGTGGTAAAAAGAGCTATACAGTTCCATATCAGCATTTTCAATTAGTAGATAACCAGGCTATGGTCATAGAAACTGAATGGCAAGACTGGGTGGGTCATTAGAATGAGTATTTAATCCAAGTGACTCTAGTGCCCCAGAAGGGCAGAGGAGAGGTAGGGGAAGGAAGATTTAGGGAGTACCCTCCCTCCTCATCTCCACAACAATTCTTTGAGGTGGATATTATTATTCCTGTTGTGCAAAGGAAGAAATGAAGGCAGGGAGAAGGCAAATACACCTGCCAGCAAGCATTGTAATATGAAGGTAATTGGGTACTTGATTTCCTTCAGTGGGAGGTCAACTTTTGTTCTCTTTAATAAGGAGCAAGGGGGTTTAGATGAAAACCAGAGGTGGATTCTCTGTATGGAAGGAGCAGTGATTTCTGCCAGTGGAATGGCTCCATCCAGACTTGGATCTGCAGGAAGTCCATAGGGTGCCGTTGAGCCGAAGCAGTGTCCACGGATACCACAGGCGTGGGAGAGGACACAGAGGGGAACAAGCCAAATAGGGACTTTTTTTCTAAATTGCTAGAGTATCGGTAGAAAAGTGGACCTTTAATGTGTGGGTTTGCTAGGTTGTGCAGCACAGAGAACTGGGTTTGTCAGTCTGATAGTTACTTGTTAATACTGCCCAGGGGGACCTGGCATTGCTCAGGATTTATAACTGTCCCATCATTAGTGATTTGATGTGTGTTCTAGACCTGTGAAATTTTCCACCACAGATTAAGAACGTCCATATATTATTTTTACTAGTCTGTCAGTTCTTGCCTGAGGCTGCATGGGGGGGGGGGTTGGGGGGAGGGAGGTGATGGTGGTGTTTGAGTCTCCCTAAAAGTTAATGCTGTGGAAAGTGAGCAGAAATGCTAAATCAAGCAAGGTAACGGTGCTTCCTGGCACTTGTACAAGCCACAGCTCTGTCCTCATGCCAGGGCCTGGAGCACTGCGGATGCTGAGTCATGAGTGTGGTGTAGAGATTGCAGAGAACTTTATAGAATCAGCAAATAGGCCACCTTTGCAGGCTGCAGTAACCTGACCCAAACTAATCATTAAGTTTATATATATGTTAGAAGCAGAATAGCTAATGGCCTCCAGAGGTCATTGGGGGTCCCCAGAGGAGGTCTTATTATTAGTAAGACACGCCAAATCTTGTGTCAGTTGAAACTAAAACTTAAAACAAAGGGTAGTTCAATGCTGGCCAAATAAGTGTTCATTGCAGTTTGTGTTTGTAATCATTGCTTTTCTCTTATTTATGACCCATTTTCTCTAAATAGCTCATATACCCAAACTCGCTTCATATATAATGAATTAATGGTAACCGTCTGGTTTTTATGTCTATATCTGCATGCATATATATATATATATATATATATATATATATACCCCTCCCTCCCAAACTTAAATGATATGCCCCTTAAATATCTGGTAGCAGGATTTTTTAACCTAACAATATTATAAGCATTTCAGCATATCCTATCTAATAAGAGAAACATGGTAATTAGCGTACGACTGCTATCCTTCCCATTGGCTAATCAGGACGATATGCAAATTAACTGCCAGCCAAGATGGCGGCCGACAGCCAGGTAGCTTAAACTGAACATGAGGCTTGCTTGCTTCAGTGACGGAGGACTGCAACGTTCCCTGCCTGCTTTGCCGGCTTCTAAGCTTGCAGTTTAAGGAAGATTGTAACAAATATAGAAGCTAAACAAAACCCCAGAAACCAGCTTTCAGCGAGCTGGGATCTCAGAGCTGGAGTTGATACAGAGTTTCGATTGTAGAACCCAAACAAACCAGATACTGGTTTTCAGCAACTGAGGCCTCAGAACTGGAGCCAGAGCTAAAGCTGGCCCAGAATAATAATAAAAAAAAAAAAAAAAAAAAAAAAAAAAAAAAAAAAAAGAAAGGGGGGGCGCTGCCCCCCG